CGAAAAGTGGTCTTCAGAAAAGTTGTAACTGAGAAAATTTTCAACAAGCTAAGCTATCATTTTCTAAAGTAGAGTGAACTGGTGAATTTTCAGATGTATATGAACCGAAATTATGATTTCTTCATACTAATTCCCATATAAACTTCAAATGGTTTGTGCCAAGTCAACTTCTCACTAAATGAGTTCAAATTTTGGGAGGCTAATCAGGGCCCAATTTGAAATCGTTTGAGCACTGTGGAGTGGAAATTTCAAATTTTGCATCAGTCTATATAGTGCCCACCTTCATGGCATTCTTCCTCACCGGAATGTGCGAACTAACGATGCTGTGTAGGGCACTAGTTCCACTGGGACCAGGATATGTTCTCCTCGGTTGTTGTGTATTGTCCGGCTTCGGTTTCGGTTTGGTGAAATTTGTGTGCTTCTGGTAGTTCTGGTTTCCATTTTGTTGTTATTGTTTGCAGTAACGCTTCTGGTTCCGCTGATTTTCTGGTACCTGTCTCCATTTTTCGTGGAACGACCGTCAATAGTCTGACCTCATCAATCTGCACTACCTCTTTCCTAGAAAACCTCACGTCCTTCCTCTGGTGCCAGTTTATCGAACTGGCTTACCATGATCTTTCATTTTAGGTATTGAGTCGAGAAAATAATGAAATATGATTTTTTTTCGGAATTGGAGTGACGTCTAGACACCGTAGATCGATGTCCGACGCCATATTGAAATCCAATATGGCGGCCTCCGGTTTCCGATAAAGTGTGGAGTACTGTCAAATACCCTTCAATATGGGTATTTTCAGAATCGGGGCGCCATCTTGAAATCCAATATGGCAGCTTCCGGTTTCAGGAAAAGTGAGTACAACTGTCAAACACTCTTCAATATGGGTATTTTCGGAATCAGAATGACGTCTAAAGACCATAAATCGATGAAGTAATGAAATTGGGTTGTTAGCGGAATGCTAAATAAAACAGCAAAAGGGTTTATCTTCCATTTAATTCCACTTAATTAATTTTTGTATCCATGACAGATACGTATTTCGACTACAATGTGCAGTCTTCATCAGTGTCATTCCCACTAAAGAACTTATCAAAATCTAACCCCCTTAAGTACTCATCCCCTAGGTAAAAAAGTCAAGATCATAGGTATAAAAATGAAACTACAATGTGTTGAATCGGAACCTACCTAACTAATAAAAACCAAAGATTTAAGTAAGCTAAAGGAGAAAAATCTATACAACTTTTTTTCAATAATGAAATAAATTCCTTCTGAACAATTAAAAATAACCTACCTTCTGCCATAATTATCAGTTATATACTTCAAAATAACACAAATTATAATCCACCGGAAGAGTCAACATTACTTCGAAATAACAGAGCTTCCGTTTTCGTACTTACATTTTCAGTTAGTCAATCAGTAAGTAGTACATGTGTATTCTCATTTCAACATTAGATCAGTGCACGAAGATATGCTGCACTTTTCTCTCATCCGTAAATGTTGACAGTTTTGGCTTCCATTCGTTGCCATCTCTTTTACTCAGAGAAAAAAAAATTGGAACTAAAAAGCGAGGTTAGGGACCGTGCACTGCTCTATCAACTATTATCATCGACTTTTGTCACACGCACACATGTTCTAGAATGAACATGAACATGAAGAAACTTTGTGCATACATTAGTACAGCGTTCGCCAACGTGCAGCTAGCGAAGCATAAGAGACATATTCCATCGTTTCCATCGCATGCAGCCAGCAAGCCGTGCTTTGGCGAACGCTGCTTGAATAAACATTGTAGTCTATGAATTCAGATATCTCAAATATATGAAATTATATGTCATTGAAACTTTTACATTTGATTGAAGATAAATGGTACATTTCAGAAAGTAAATGACTTTTTGCTAAAACTTGCTACTTTTTGAGAAACCGGATTATGAAAATCATGGTAATTTTCACTATTTTGGCTAATATTTCGCTTGTACCCAAAACATTGGGAACTCTTCCTTAAAACTTGCAAATTATCCGACTTAAAAGATGCACGGCGTAAAAAATGAAGGATTTGTCGTTTGTATGGAAAATAGTACAAAAACGTAAATTTCAGCTATATTTTACAATATTCACTATATCTTTGTTGTTTGAAGACCTAGAACTTTGAGTGATTGGGCATTTTTTTATATTTTTTAATGTTCTACAACTTTGCCGAAGACACAAAACCTCTAGTATGTGAAATAAGAAAGTTAGTATCGCAGCACCATCTATGCGGATAAAATTGGAACTAGTTTCCATTACCAGATGAAAGCGCATGTTAAACCGAGAAACTTTGCGAAAGACACTATTTTAATATAATGCAAACCCAATGCGCTAGAGGTTTTGTCTTGCTAATTTCGTTTCCTGGCCCAGTGTGCAATGGCTGCCATTTTGAATTCGAAATAGAGTTGGACATCGATCGATTTTCGGCATCTTCACGTCGCCCCCGTTCCAAAAATACCCATCACTACCCAAGTAACATTGCAAGTTTTATCGAGTTTTTAAAGAACACTTCAAGGCTAAACCATGGTCTTCAAGAGCGTTATAAAACCGAAATTGTTGCTTGGGTAGAAGTCACTTAGGTACTTCCAAATATGAAGTTTAGCACAAAAATTCGAGCTACTTTGAGTCAGCGGGGAAATTCCGTCAAAACAATACAATTTCATTTATTCGTTGGCTAGAAAACGACCAGCGGCAGCTCGATCGCGACAGAATGTGAGAATGACATGACAGACTTTTTTCGTCAATCTTGTCGTCCAACGTACGTGAAACAACTAATAGCGAATCCGTTTATTATTCAGTTCCAATCTGGATCGGGTATCAAGATTGGGTCTGCCTGTTTTTTTGACTAACGTCAGTTTGGTCGTTTGTTTTTAAAACCTACCTCAGGTTGAGGTTGTTTGCACTGACAAAAAGTTCAGTTTCGCACTGGGTGGGAACTAGTTCCAACCCAATAATAAAAGAATTCGACAGTGAGTTTGCATAAGCGCGATGATCGATTCTCTTCGTCGATTTTCTCTTTTGTTAATATCTCGCTAGAATTAACGTTTCTCGGTGCGTTTTCTGTTGCTTTTGATAGCCAATATAACCAGTTACAACTCTGCATTGAACAAATTGTAGAAAATTGTTTTGCTTAGCTGTATCAATGCAAAGAGAAAGTCGATGAAGAGAATCGATCATCCCGTATACGTATTTATGCATGCTCAGTGTCGAATTCGCTATAAGTTGTGCTGGAAAAGATCACGCAACAGATGTTTCGTGACCAAATCTGCATTGATCGATTCTCTTCATCGACTTTCTCTTTCGTCAATAACTCAGCTGCAAAACATTTCCCTGTTGTGTTTGACGTTTTGGACGCTAGATAAGAACCTCTTTTATCAAACTATGTGGTAGAATTAGAGCGAAATCTGTTTGCATAGCAGTGGTTATGAAAAGAGAAAGTCGATGAAGAGAAACGATCAAAGCAGATAGGACCATTTGAAATGTTCATCGAGAAATGAGAGAAAGACTATTGGCAAATCAAAGTTGGCACTCGTGGAGAATAGAAGAACTATGAGAGTGACGATGGTTTCAAAATTGTACACGTTGAGGTATACGAGAGCAATCTTAAAATACTTTTACTTTTCAGCGGAACTTCCTGGCATTCATAACATTTAAATCGAAACACTAAATTCGTGACAATCACAACAATCTCGGAATCTCGGACAGACCGACACACCACTGGTTACAAGTTCCACGCCAAATGACGACTCGGGAAAACTCAACCTTATCCATTGTTATGAACAATCCTTCACATTTTTTTCTAAAATTTGGCCATTTTAGATCTTGTAACGTTTACAAAATGGCGTCTTTGATATTTAAAAAAAAATGTAGTACAGTAACAGCATTTCTGGTGATTTTTCAGGGAAAAATATACATTTTTTTTCAAGGGATTTTAACTGCTCGCATACAAAAAATAATACAAAACTCATCAAAGTGACCAAAAGTTCTTGTTCTACAATTTTTGTGAATTTTTAAGTGTTCACAATTTCCCCTCCACTCCAAAAGTTTGAAAACTGAGCTTTTTTTAAAATAAATCTTAAACATCATTCGAGGGCATTTAGGAATATTTCGGTTTATAACATAGTTTTGGAATTGTTACTTGATAATACTAAAAATATTTATTTTAAATATTTTTGCCAGAAAAAAAAAACTTAATTTTTCTCGACAACTTTGCCACTGGCATCATTTCGATTAGAATGCCGATTCCATGCTATAATTTTTTGAAAAATTTGAAAGACGCCATTCTAATAATGTTGCAAGATCCAAAATGGCCGAATTTTAGAAAAAAAAATGTTCTAAACAAACAAATATGCAAAGTTTCATGCAAATCGGATATGGTCGAGTTTTTCCGATTCGTCATTTGGTGTGGAACTGCTCATATTGGTTATTTCACCAGCCATTTAATAACGATTGCTTTACAAACAACAGAGATAGTGGAACAGTCCTATTGTTGCGATACGTTAGAAACGTTAGGAGCCTATTGTTGTGTATGGAGACCTCCATACACATCAATAGGCTTCTAACGCTACAAACGTACCGCATCAATAGGACTGTTTCCCCTACAGTGTTTCTAATGAGAATAAAATTTAAGGTGTCGTGACACGCTCTGTACGATATCGTATACCATGATTTTTGTTACAATAATTTGGGTGATTTCTTTTTCAGTAAACTAATGATAACAAGTACAGAGTGAGCGGTGGAAGGAGAGAGCGATGAATAGTGACCTCACGTTAAATAGAGCTCTGGCAAAATTTGTGGAAGTGCCCTAAACCAGTACGGAATGAATGATTTTCTAATCACCTTAGAAACACCGATTGACATTTCCTCGAAGAGCTCAAAATAAATCCTCTCAGCCCATGTTAAGAGAAATCAAATAAACCGATCATTCCACGTCGGTGGTGAAAATACCCAAAGCAATGTCCAGCCAGAGTCGAACAACAACACTTACCATCATCCGACACCATCGGCAGGTTAATCCGGTGATGCCGTTGTACGCTTTGATTCGTTTCCGACACTTGGAACAGCGACCGTAGCAGTTGCCCTCGACCCAGTGATGCTGAAAGGTTGAAGTGGTTTTCGATTTCTTCGACTTGACGTAGGTGGCTATACAGGACGCTGGTGCACGCTGGACGCACCGTTCGTGGACCGTGTATTTGCACACTGGATGAACGAAAAAAATACAGAAGAGAAACGTATACATAATATGTATCAATAAACATGACCCCGTCACAGAGACAGTGAGGAGGGAGGAGGATGTGGTTTGAGGTTGTGTTGCGGTGGTGGACGACGACGGTTCAGGGACATTGGAAATACACCATCAGCAATGATTCGTCGGTATACTCACAGACACAGCAGAGTCCTTTCTTGCCCAAGCCGACCAGCATGTTGAGGCACATGTTGCAGTAGGCCGGTTTGCTGAAGTGCTTCAGTCGCCACACGTGGTAGCCGTCCTCTTTGAGGGTATTATCGACACCTACGGGTTCGATTACCCACAGCGTAACGGGTTGAATTTCCATCCGTCGCGGCAGAGACGAATAAACGTGAGGAAAAATAAATTCAAGTGCTTAATACCTTCACACAGGGGGAATGCGGGATGCGGTGAATGAATCTGTGGGATTTGGGGAAAATTCGGGCGAGGGGGTGTTATTTGTGTGCGTATTTTATTCAACGGCCAGTGTCCAAACAGAGTGACAGCGTTGTCGGTGGGGGAAAGGGAATCGCTCGAAGGCAGTTTCCCTGGTTGGTCATCGGTTCGTGTGGGAGACCCAGATCCAGTCAGTACTCATCATTATGCAAATTTCCTTCTATCAATAACGAACCAACTGAGAATAGCATTTGCATATACGTAGTTTGTCACCTTGTTTACTTTGATATGACAATTTCCAGTTTGATGCAATGGAGAGTTGTACAGTTGTGGGTTCGTTAGAGTTCTCTTCTACGACTCGGTCTGTCTGCGGGCGAATGTGAATGTGTAATGGAATAAATTTGTTTTGAACTTTGTGTAAATAATCAGGATGAATTTCCGTTTGTAACTAGGCGGGTTTGTTGAGGAAAATAGATATTGAATATTCATAAACTGAGTGAAATTTGGTGTTTTGTATTTGCAGCTTTTCATTTATGTGCGATTTAAGACCCCCTCCCCATTCGTAGGCAGTCATTTACAGTTAAGAATCCATCTTTGTACTAAACAGGAGGTGCAAAAAAGGAACCAATTGTATTTCTGATACACCCAAACGGCAAATGAAAAATTATATTACTGATTTGCATAAAAATGTACACATGATTTGTAATGTAGGAAGGCAAAGTTTTTAAATAGTTTTGTACTTTTAATGTCAGCTTCCCTTAATGCTGAGGAAAGCTTCAAATGAAATCTGAGGAGAGCGACGTCAGTCCGCATCGTACTCTCTTACCGTGCAAATCTATTTGCTTTTTTCTGAAGGAAGTGTTACTGCTACCTAAGGCTACAACAATTTTTAACAGCACTTTTCAGAGCTCAATATACCTGTAAATGTTCTACCTTGTTCGACTCTGATTCCTCTTGATAATCCGAGGTAATCCTGCTTGGATATCGATTTGAAAAAATCCTATTCGCTCCTTCAGATTCTTATAGTAATCTGCTTGGAAGTCGATTTGGATAAACGTTTTACTGCCGCCATGGCGCCTAAGCGCAAAATAAAAGGGTAATCGCTTGCTCCGCCTTCTGATAAAATTGATTTTAGCAATCAATTTGATTTGCTCACGGATGATGAGAATGATCCATCATACAGGAAAAATTCTAATAAATTTTCCCGGCTTAATGCCAAAAAGGAAATGATTTCCCCTATTGTGATAACCATTTCCGATTTCCATGCTCTTCGCACGGAACTTTTGAGCTTCGTGAAATTCATGTTTTCACTGCAAATTGGCCGTCGGGGTGGATGCCGTGTATTGGCTGAAACCTTGGACGGATTCAAACGTCTTCTCGAGTATCTTACTGAGAAGTGGCACCATTTTTTTTACTTACGACACCAAAACTAAGCGTGTGTTGTTGTGTCTTGAAATGTCTGCCCAGTGGTGAATCCCTGGATCAGATCAAACATGAACCTGAAAAATTACTTGGTGTTGAGCCACTCCAAGTAAACAAAATGAAAATGAAATCCCGGCCTGGCGATTCACGTAGCGGGATTTCTAATGATTTTTTTTTATTTAGTTCACTTCAAGTCTAGTGAACTAAACAACCTTAAGGCCTTAGAAAAAGCTAGCCTTATGCTCCATGTCCGAGTGAAGACTGGAGGAAGTTTCCAAAACCTCACCCAGTGCCGTAAGTGCCAGGGATGGGGCCACGAAACAAAAATTGCTACATGCCAGCTAAATGCATGAATTGTGGTGATTCCTCTCACGCAAAGGACGACTGTCATGTGAAGGAAGATCCTAAGAAATTTAAATGTTCAAATTGTGGTGAAAACCACAAATCCAATTTTTGGGAATGTAAGACTCGCAAAGCGATCCTACAATCGCGTGCTTAGTGACAGCGGTCAGCGAGGAACAAATTCTACATTCGTACCCGCAGGTCCAAACATCACCCTGCTTCAAATTCTTCACCCATACCTGCTCTCCTCGCTGCTAACAATGTTCAGCAAGTAAATGGAGTTACCTATGCTGCTATTAGGGTAGAATTCAAAATACTAGCCAAGGTAATTCTAACGGAAATTTTACTAATCCTAAAATAGAATTTTTACCGAAATCATTAATTGACATGATTACTGATATACTAAAAACTAACTCCATGTTTAATGCTATTCAAACTGTAGTTAAATTTGTGAACAATACCGTCATGACTTTGAAATTCAGTAATGCATTTTAAATCATTAAATAATTTAAATTGGAATGCTCGGTCTCTTAAAGATAATGAAGACGGGCTATTTAACTGTTTGAGAGTTCATAACGTGCCTATCGCCGTTATGACTGAAACGTTCCTTAAACCTGACCATAAGTTAAAAAGGACGCAAATTATTTCATTTATAGAAATGATCGTCTTGATGGAGCCTGTGGTGGCGTTGCTATCATTGTTCATAGACGAATCAAACATAAAATTCTTTCTTCATTTGAAACCAAAGTTTTTGAAACTTTGGGAGTTTCTGTCGAAACTAAATTTGGGCAACTTACGTTTATAGCTGCCTATTTGCCATTCCAATGCTAAGGCCAGCAAAAGAATTTTCTCAAGGGTGACCTTCAGAAACTTACCCGTCATAGGTCTAAATTCTCATTCTTTCAACGCGCATGGAATAATGCTCAAAGCAATGCCAATGGTAATATTCTGTTTGATGATTGTTCTATTCAATATCCAAACTGCCCAACATGCTTTTCTTCAGTTAAAAATCCCTAAACTTATAAGACTACTTTATATGCCCCGGAACCGCTGAGTTTCTGAAGGGAACCCCCTAAACCCCAAGCTGCTGGTCTTAACCAACGGCAGCTCCCGGGGTGGGCACTCAATTCCCTTGTAGGTTCCGGGTCTCAGGGCGTATTGGCGTGGGAGAGTTTTCGGATGTGAGGAGACCTGAAATTATGTTTTTTTTTTATTACCTGGTATTTTATTGGCCGGCGATGACAGTGGGGCGGAGCAGTATCGAACGGTGAACGGCTGGGGGTTCGGTCGAAACTGGCCGGGAAGCGGTGATGTTAGCAGGTGGTCCGGGCGACCCTGGCCGGGATACGGCGATGGTAGACGCCCGTGTGAGTTTGCCTGTAATCCTGGCTCTAAACGGCGACGAAGGTAGCCCGGGAGGTATATCGGGTGCTGATCGGCTGCCGGGTGGGCAACGGGAGGACTTGAATGGCCGGGGTGATCTGGGCTTTGACGGGTAGTCAACCTGCAATGGGCCTTCTACGAAGGACTGACTGTCCGCAATGCGGTGGCGATTGATTCCCGACTGATGATCAGCTGGCCAGCTGGCGGACTCACCGGGCAGATTCGTGAATAGCCGGGTAACTTGGCCGGTGCCAGGTTGATTCGGCCGTCGATAGAATAAGCCAGGGGCGACTAATTGTGGGTTGACCGTGAAGCCGGGTATTGATTTAATCTGGAGTGGCAGCACTGCGGCGAAAGTCGTCGGACTGAATAACAAGCGGTCCGATACTCAGGACCCCGTGATAACCGGATCACTTGACCGGTGAACGGGTGATAGTCAGATCTCCTAGCGCTCCAGAAAACAAAGCGTTCTCACACCGCGTGGCTTGGACTGATGGCGGGGGTGACTAAAATTTCACCCCACACGCAACAAACTTTCCTTGTCGCTTCTACGAGGGCTCACGACTTACTGCCTAAATCCACTGACCGTCGGGCTCTCTCTTACCTCTTCACATCGACCGTGGTGTTGCGTTTCTCTCCATCCGCCCCCGATCGTAGGCAGCCTTCACTCCTATCTCGTAGCTTCTAATACAACCCTTACACAAGATCCACACATTTCGAAACCGATTGCGCCCCACTTTGAATCGGCCGTTATTTCACTACAATTTATTGGCCCTACTCCCCACATCAATATTTTAAACAATACTATGTTACCCACCGGTAACAAACTATTGATTTGGTCTTAACTGGTTCATGTAAACTTTGTAGCCAATTGGTTACTCATGCTGACTTCGGTTCTGATCACCTGCCAGTAACTTTTGAAATATCCCAAGAAATAATTTCTACTCCGAACAGCTCTACTTTCAATTACCATAGAGTTGATTGGGAGCAATATCGAACATTTATGTAACATAACTATGATCCAAACATTCTTTTGGTGGTGTTAATTATGCTCTTGAATCTCTGACTACTGCTATAGTTGAAGCAAGAGCTGCCTCAGTACCAAAAGGCGAGGTTAAATTCGATTCAATTATAATAGACGATGATCTTCAACTCTTGATCCGTTTAAAAAATGTCCGTAGGAGGCACTATCAAAGAACACGCTATCCTGCCCTCGCTATTCATGAAAGTTATCTGGCGGAATTTAAAATAAAGAGCAAAAAGCGATTCTCTGCCCTGAGGAACAAAACTTTTGATAATAATGTTCCGAAATTGGACCCGAGTTCCAAACCCTTTTAGAAGCCCACAAAAAATTTCAAAAAATTTCAAAAGCCTATTCCAGTGCTAAAATAATGTGATAAAATATTGATCACAAAGCACAGTACGGAAAAAGCACAGAAATATGCTAAGCAGTACGAGAATTCTTGTGATTTCAGTTTGGATCTTGAAGGCTGACTAAAAGTAAATTGGTACGCACAAAAAAACCTGTAATTCGTGATTCAATATGCTTAAAAAGTCCATTAATGGTTGCTTAACAGTACTTTTATTAAAACTTTAAAGTTTCAGCATTTGATGGTTACATTTCTCCAGTTCGAGCTAAATCTCGAACCTTCCTCTTGATGAAGACCATCAGTACCCGCACAGTGGAAACGGACACGGAATCAGCGCATTTCTTTCATTTTGCCCGCATTTGCTGGATGTCC